CCTAGTAAAGACTGTTGGACCCTAGTAGGAGACTGTTGGACACTAGTTGGAGACTGTTGGACACAAGTAGGTGACTGTTGGACAGACTGTTTGATACTAGTAGGAGACTGTTTTACAATAGCAGAGACTATTGGACACTAAGAGTAGATTGTAGGACACTAGTGGAGACTTTTTGACACTATTAGAGACTGATGGACACTAGTAGGAGACTGATGGACACTAGTAAAGACTGTTGGACACTAGTAAAGACTGTTTGACACTAGTAGAGACTATTGGACACAAAGAGTAGAGTGTAGGACACTAGTAGAGACTGATGGATAGTAGTAGGGGACTGTTTGACACTAGTAGAGACTGTTAAACACTAAGAGTAGAGTGTAGGACACAAGTAGAGACTGTTGGACCCAAGTAGGAGACTGTTGGACACTAGGAGGAGACTGTTTGATACTAGTAGGAGACTGCTGGACAATAGTAGAGACTATTGTACACTAAGAGTAGAGTGTAGGACACAAGCAGAGACTGTTGGACCCTAGTATGAGACTATTGGACACTAGGAGGAGACTGTTTGATACTAGTAGGAGACCACTGGACATGAGTAGAGACTATTGGACACAGAGAAGACTGTAGGACACTAGTAGAGACTGTTTGACACTATTAGAGACTGATGGACACTAGTAGGAGACTGTTTGACACTAGTAGAGACTATTGGACAATAAGAGTAGACTGTAGGACAGTAGTAGGAGACTGTTTGACACTAGTAGAGACTGTTGGACACTAGTAGAGACTGATGGACACTAGTAGACTGTTGGACACTTGAAAGATATTGATGGATGCAGACTATTGGACACTAGTAGGAGACAGTTTGACATTAGTAGGAGTCCATTGAAAACTACTATCAGTTTGATGAAGACAAGTAGAGACTGCTGGACACTAGTAGGATATTGTAGGATATTGTTGGATACTAGCAGGAGACTGTTGGACACTAGTAGAGACTATTGGACACTAGTAGGAAACTGTTGGACACTAGTGGGAGACTTGGACACTAGGAGAAGACCGTTTGATACTAGTAGGAGACCGCTGGACATGAGTAGAGACTATTGGACACAGAGAAGACTGTAGGACACTAGTAGAGACTGTTTGACACTATTAGAGACTGATGGACACTAGTAGGAGACTGTTTGACACTAGTAGAGACTATTGGACAATAAGAGTAGACTGTAGGACAGTAGTAGCAGACTGTTTGACACTAGTAGAGACTGTTGGACACTAGTAGAGACTGATGGACACTAGTAGACTGTTGGACACTTGAAAGATATTGATGGATGCAGACTATTGGACACTAGTAGGAGACAGTTTGACATTAGTAGGAGTCCATTGAAAACTACTATCAATTTGATGGACAAGTAGAGACTGCTGGACACTAGTAGGATATTGTTGGATACTAGCAGGAGACTGTTGGACACTAGTAGAGACTATTGGACACTAGTAGGAAACTGTTGGACACTAGTGGGAGACTTGGACACTAGGAGAAAACCGTTTGATACTAGTAGGAGACCGCTGGGCACTAGGACGAGACTGTTTGATACTAGTAGGAGACCGCTGGACACTAGTAGAGACTGATGGACACTAAGAGTAGACTGTAGGACACTAGTAGAGACTGTTTGACTCTATTAGAGACAGATTGACACTAGTAGAGACTATTGGACACTAAGAGTATACTGTAGGACAGTAGTAGAAGACTGTTGGACACTAGTAGAGACTGTTGGACACTAGTAGAGACTGT